AAGATGAAAATGGTGCAGGGTGCCAGTGAAACGTAGTGTCAGTTCCTGTGTGAAACTGGTTGGGCCTTGTTTTCGAAGGTATGGCAGGAAACCGGCGCCGGGATCTCGGAGGCGCCGTACGGGGGGCCGCAGGAGGACGCGCAGATGCCCAGCCAGTCGGACAGCGGCAGGGCCGGCTCGGGCCCGAGGCCTCAGCCGCAGGCCGGGCAGGGAGCCGGGGACGACTTCCGGGACCCCCAGCAGGAGCTGCCGGGGGACGGCGGGAAGGAGAAGGAGGCGGAGGAGGAGGAGCACATGCGGGTGGTGGTGAAGAGCGAGCCCCTGAGCTCCCCCGAGCCCCAGGACGAAACCAGTGACGTCACCTCGCAGGCGGAGGGGAGCGACCAAGTGGAGCCGGGGGCGGACAAGATCGAGCTGAGCCCGGAGAGCAGTGACCGGAGCTTCTCCGACCCCCAGTCCAGCACCGACAGGGTCGGGGACATGCACCTGCTGGAGGGGGCTCGAGGGGGCGCCAGCGGCGGAGGGGGCGGGGGGGGGAGCGGCCCAACCAGTAACGACAACCTGGACACCAAGCAGGCCTTCAGCATCTCCAGCTTCCTCGCCAAGGGCTACGCCGGGCCCGGCCAGGGCTCTGCTTCCTTGACGGACGACAACCTCCCCAACACTACGAGCGCGGAGTGCCGCATAGAGGGGGAGGCCACCTACCTGCTGAGCCCGGAGCCCATCAACGGGGGCTCCTCCTCGGGGGGCTCCCTGCTACATCACCACCCCGCATCGTCGTCCCACCACCACCACCACCACCACCTCTCGGGGGAGGTGAACCCGTTCGGCGAGTCGGACGGCCACTTCCTGCGGCCCATGCAGGAAGGCCTGGGCTACAGGGGTGGCGAGCAGTTCGCCCTGGACTTCCAGCGGTCCAGCCTGGGCCTGCACTCCTTCTGCCGCTCGGGCCGGGGGGGCGGCGCCTCGGCCAACCTGGGCTTCCCGGGCTACCGCCGCATCGCGCCCAAGATGTCCCCGGCCGTGGGGGGCTCGCTGCGGATGGAGGGGACCCAGCTGCAGGACGCCTCTTCCTCCTCGGCGGGGGCCCCCACCTGCTCCTGAACGGGGCGGCCGGAGGGGGTTCCGGGTACGAGGGGGGCCCCCACGGGGCCGCGGCGGGGGGGGCGGGGGCGGCGGCGCCCCCCCAGCTGACCCGCGCCTCGGCCGACGTGCTCTCCAAGTGCAAGAAGGCGCTGTCTGAGCACAACGTGCTGGTCGTGGAAGGGGCGCGCAAGTACGCCTGCAAGATCTGCTGCAAGACCTTCCTGACCCTGACGGACTGCAAGAAGCACATCCGCGTGCACACGGGCGAGAAGCCCTACGCGTGCCTCAAGTGCGGCAAGAGATTCAGCCAATCCAGTCACCTGTACAAGCACTCCAAGACCACCTGCCTGCGCTGGCAGAATAGCAACCTGCCCAACACCCTGCTCTAACGCCGCTCGCAGAGACCGGAGACCCACACACACACAGATACGCTCTCCCCCCTTTTTTGTGGGTACCATGTGCGAGGAGGTTCTAGGCAACAGTACTCCCCAATCCCATCCTGAAAACAGCCCCGGATTGCAAGGTTAAAGAGCAGTCACACGGAAACGAAGTGCTTGTCAGAGCCAAGGGTGGACAGAGCAGGTCATGCCGCGTTGGGCATCAGATTATATGGGGAAAAAACGAATCACAATAATCCAGCCAGGGTCGCGCTCTCTTTTCGGGTGGCTCCAAGAGGGGTGTGTGACAAAATGTCTACACAGAAGATTCAGCTCATCGAGTTGTGGCACCGCATTGCAAACGTTTTCATTTTTATTTATAGCCTATCTTAACTAGATCAGCGGAAGGACCAAATGTCCCGACTTCACACGTTTGGGTCTCTCAGCCTTCGTCAAAAACAAACATGTCATATTTCCCCTCCTCGTTCACCACTGCTCTGGCACCATACATACTCCCTAGCGTACAGCTAAAAACATTTATGCACTTCGTCTGCAAAATCACTTGGTGTTATGAGGTTCATTGCCTGTAATTACCTTGTGTTCTGACTGTACTGATAGTAGAGGTCTTACTGTGAGGTGTTATTGGAAGTTGCCTCATTTGCTGGTTTGATAACACTATATACAGCAAAATATCACTTTCAAGAGGTGGGCAAGTTTAGAGGAAGATGAAAATGGTGCAGGGTGCCAGTGAAACGTAGTGTCAGTTCCTGTGTGAAACTGGTTGGGCCTTGTTTTCGAAGGTATGGCAGGAAACCGGTATTTGATCCATCAGATTTCATTCACAAGGAGCAGTCAGGAAGAGACTGTCAGGAGACGGCTTCTGATTTTTTTTTCTAGTGCATTAGCGAAGGATTTTCAGTGATGCAGTCAAGTAAAGATCTGTAGAGGCAACCTGAATATGCAGGTTTGTCTGAAGACTAGTTTTCCTTCTTCCTTCATATTCTCCATGTGACGTCAGACTGTTGTTCTCCTGGTTTAAGTGCTGATTGGCGTGGTGGCATTCGAACTCTGAGAAAGTCTTTCTGAATAATGGTCTCTTGCAGCCCTTTTTTTTTTTACTTTTCTTTTGCCTGTTTCTGAAATCAGTCGCTGATGAACGGGCAGGATCGAGGCCTCGTGTGGCAGTGTAGGCCGTAACGTCTGCGGTGCGGCGCACATTGAGGCGTGGACAAGATTACCAGCGAGGAATTGCAAGATTTTTTTTCTCACGTATCCTGAAGGAGCCGCAAAAGGAGATTGCAGTAGGTCAGATCCTAGTCAAAGGGAAAACCAGACCGGCTAGCGCTGAAGATTTAAATGTGAAAAAACATTCAGTTTTAGATCACCAGCACAGACAGGTACAGGTATGTGTGGTGACCGGTTTCTTTTTAACTCTGCATGCAGCTTCCTGGCATACCTGTGGTGAGCTCTGCCAGCGAGACAGCTGTTTTGCTAATATTAAGCTTCAGAGTAAAACTCGGGAGCAGAGCAGAGAAAAGTGGCTTCACAGGGTAAGCAGGTGTCAGAGGATATCTGTCTTCCCAAGGGACCAGAGAAGCTCCTCTGTGGAAGCAACAGCTCTGATTAATGGAAAAAAAGTAATATATGAAGCAGAGAAAAAAATGTATAGGATTGTTGTAATAGAATGTAAAATGAATTATCTTTATTAACGTGTGTTTCAGCCTAGCCTGTAGATGGAGCATCAGTGTGATTGGAGGAGATAAACCCTTCTTTTGAACTTCTCATGTTAATTGCAGGACTTGTGTCCCCAGTAACCACAGCACTAGTGGAGGAGGGTGGTGTAGTCTTATCCAGGGTTTTAATTAAGGAATTATTTCATTGTTTATCACAAATATCCCTTTTAAAATATTCCTCTGTGTTTTATGTAGCTTTTATGCATTTATGTAGCATATTTTAACACATTTGTTTTAAGTGGCCAAATTTGCTGTGATGCATTATCATTCTGAACTGGTTCCTGCAAGGGAGAGAGGACACAACTGTGCAGTACAGAGGGAGACAGTAAGATGTCATTGAGTGAGAAAAGGCAAGTAGCCAGATGTCAGATTGTGCTGAACTGTAACACCATCACCTACAGTAGTCACGTCACCACCCAATGAGTTCTTTTTACACTTGCACAAAGGCAAGCTCCGTACCATTTTCATTCAGAAATGTGTTTTAATGAGTTTCCTGTTTTTTTTTAAAAAAAAAAAACACTTTTTAACCAGGCCAAGAACTAAAACATCACAGGTCGATTCTGCCTAAATTCCGTCTTCTCCAGTCTGCCTCTGCTGAGTGTAGTTAAGTTGCCTCTGACTCTGAAGGTGCCTGCCGCCACTGCAAGCCACTGACAATATATTTCAGCACGGTTTGTGCTTCACTAGCCCAAAAGGACGTTGTCGGAAACCCAAATTCTGCTTTATTTGCGGAACTTTTAAATTTAAAGAACAATTTTGGATGTAAAGAGAGACTTTTTTTTATATACAACTGAAGATTTCAGAACTATCCATCCCGTCGAGGTCCGTTTTTGTTTGAATACAAAGAATATCCATTAACGTTCGTTGTTTTTGTTTTTATATGTAAATGTCTTGCAGCAAAAAACGAAAGGATAAGAACGTGTTGGTTTCTGTCCCTTTTTTTTTTTTTCGGTTTGTGTGTGCCCCATAAAGAAGCGCCTTTCCCCTCCTCGTTCTGTAAGACGTTTTACAGGAAGCCCTGTCCCCAGATTTGCACAGCAGTCTGTCTCGGGGAAGGAAGATATCCCCGGTGTGGGCCTGAGATTCACATAGGAACAGTCTCCCTCCAGTCGCACAGAATTGTTCCCCCTCCCCCAAGCCAGACGTTTGAGAAACGGAACCGCACAGAAAACAGGGTATTTGACGATGGATTGCTTCGCGGCGAGCAGATGCCGTCGCGCTAAAAAGAAAAGGAAGAAAAAAATATTACAAAGCGAACTTCGGATTTTTTACATTTGTCTTCGATGGAAACCCCCCCCCCCAGCTTCCTGTCCTAAGGACCTTCAGAGGGAACTGATTTAAGATCTCGCAGGAGGTAAAGGTTCGGGAGCAACAGAGGTGTTAATATGTAAATAGTGCACATTTACATAGTCTGGGTTATAGTTTTGTTCTCTGATGAAATATATATTATATTTGGACTAGTGAAGTTTCTGTGTATGTGCTTTTTGTAGCAGTACTTCAGCTGTATTGTATATCTTCACAAGAATTTCTTTTCCCCTGGGGCAGGGATTTCTCAGTCTGTAATTGGGGGATACCGTTTCAGGAGATCATTCTGCACAAGAAACCCCCCCTTCCCCCAATTTAAAACCTTAAATCAAATTATAATGCTGTGGTCTGCTATAAAATATTAAAGGCAGAACTGCAGGTCAGCAGATCCACTAAGAGTGTATTGACTTATACTACTAGGCTTTTGGGGGGAAGGTTGAAGTATCCATGCGTTTCTGGGGAACCCCTCGAACAGTCTCCAGCCCATTGCCATAGGAGACAGGGCGCAAAGACCCCAAGACACTACGTTCAAGGTCAAGAAAAATTGTGGTACAAGGCGCAGCAATCTTAAGATAGCCCATCACTGGCTGTATTTTGAACTGCTTGCCTTATCCCTACTCACAGGACGTATTAATAAGACTAGCTCATGTTGAATAAGGGAAATGCTGTGTGTAAATTTGGAAATTGTCATGAATATGGACTGACTTTATGGGCATTCAATGGAAACGTATTCGAAAACCCTTGCATTTGTGTAAATACAAGCACGTGGGAATCATTTACACTTATTTTTAAAGTGTTGTTTGTTTCCCGTCAATCATTTAGAGAAGAGGCATTGAATTCAAAGATTTACCTCTACATTGCAGTTTTGGGGAGAGGGATAGAGATTGTTCCTTCATGCATACCCAGCTGTCTTCTCTAGGGCTGAGTTTAAATTCAAGTCATCCGAACTTAACAAACGGAAAAGATCTTCGGGGGGGGGCAGTTCTCGGTGCTCTTCCTCTAGATGTGTTACACTACTGCTAACCAGCCCTCAGAAGAGTAAGCAGGGGTTATTACCAAGGATGTTTCTGTTGAGTGTTTCCAAAACGTCTGGTCCAGCGAAGCACTGTTAGCCTTTGTTTTGTGTGCACTTTTCCATCAACAGATGGACAGTCTACTGTGTCTTCATTCCTGCAAGGTGAAGTTCTTAATATCACCGTCGATATCATCACCGTTGCTACACCCCCAAAGCAATCGTGTCCGTTCTCTGCTCAGTGGATTTGACAGAAACGGATATGCGCTTGGACAGGCTTGTAAACAGGGAGGTAACTGGAGAGAAAGTGGTAGAAATCTGAACAGCCGGGGTGCTTCAGATTCAACAGCGTGCTCTGATCTGTGCAGTAGGAAGGAATTCCAGACCAAATATCACCTCGTTCATGGTTGTGCTTGAGACAGGGGCTTCACGCTCAGTGCCTGGAAGGGCAGGTGTCTTGTGGTTTTTATTTTAACCAAGCTGAGTTACATAGCTGGTATAATTATGTCATTACCCTCAGACCTGTAGTACTTACATCCACGAATGTAAGAATGATCAATCGTGAAAAACCTTCAGAAAAATCCTGTAAGTAATTTAATTCGTGAAATAAATAACCTATTAATAATTTCATGGACTGCTCAGGTTGGAATAAAAACCAAAAGGCACTAGCACAGGGAGTCCCAACTTGGGTTCTGGAAATCACCTATCCAGCAGAATCTGCAGGTTTCTTTTTAAATCGCCTATTTCCAAAGATACCGAACACTTCCTCTGTTTTCAATTAAACAGTCATTTCTAAAATTAAAGACTTTATAGACTAGGGCTAAAATCTAAGTATGTTTAGCCATCATGGACGAGAGGTCTCTTAATTGATCAGGTTATTTGATCCATTAGTAGTATATATGTGTTGCCAGTCTTTACTAACAGGTAAGACAGATAAGACTGACTGGATAGCGGCTCTCCAGGACCAGAGAGTGACCTGAAATAGACCTCCTCTGGGAATTGAGAATCAACCCCTGCTCTGCTCTTAAGATAAGGAAAGAAAATTCTATTACAAAAATGTAGTTATTTCTGTAATGTGCTGTTCTGCAATGTCAATAGATCTTTCGATAAGATGTCCATAGGGGCCGCTCCTTTTCCACAGTGAATACAGTTTCACCAAACAGTGATCCTTAAAACATGTCTAGCAAATTCTTGGTTTCTACAAAGAAGTACTTTTTAAAAATAAATACAGGCTGTGGAATGGCAACTATGTTCATGGGCACTTAGCAGTTTTTATTTCCCAGCAGGGATGAAATCCTGAATCACAAAATTCTAACTTAGCCTGGTTAAAAAGACTGAAAGTTTGTTTTTGGCAGCTTTTTAGACTTGCTAACCCATATCCAGAGGATGGGCGCCTGTATTCTCTGTCTCTGTGGGAGAGATGGATGGTCCAGACTGGAGGTGGCTGCTCAGCGATTCTCTCGTTTATGCACCCTTAGTAACTAGAGCACTTTGCCATTGGAGTTTGTTATAAGAAATGAAACAGAAGCTCTGTAAAAGTGTAGCTTTAAAACAAATCTTTTTCACATAGCCTGGTTACTTAATTGCAGATTTAAAAAAATATAATTGGATTGTTTACTTAAGCAGTATATTTGGACTTAGTGGTCCAATGATTTAAAGAGAAAATAATTTATTACCAGAGGTTATTTGTAGTTCTCAACTCCCTATGCTGAGAAGGACGTCTCTGAACTGTGCTGCGTCCAGCTATTAAATAAGTGATCATTAATGGATTTTTAACATAGATTAGTCTGATATATGCCTGTAAGGAACTAACTGCTTGTCTTTGTCTTGCTGAATGGTAACATTCTGTATGCAGGATAATTAGATTTATTTGTGGCAGTATGGAAATAAAAAAAAACAAAATCAGCTGAAGCACAAGACCAATTTAAAGACTCAGGTTAAATTAATTTGGTGGCAATATTGGTAATTATATTTTCCATTCCTGTAAACGGGAGTAAGGATCTCTACGCAACAACAAAATGTGAAGTGAACACACCTTATATACAGCCAGGGTAAAGTTCTTTTCAGCAGTGAGGTAATCTGTGTTCCTTCTTCGGGCCATTATTGAGAGAGTTGCTCCATGTTAACGCAACATTTTAAAGGCTTCGTGACTGGTGCTGATGTCACTAATGGTTAAAGTGGTCACTAGCTGGAGACAAAAAAGATATTACAGTGCATTTTCATATGCAGCCTATCATATGTCATTAAACCTTTATGATGAATACTAGGAGTGCATGTTATTGTAGTTTTAAAATGTAATTGACTTTTACACAAGGTGTACTGAGCATCAAAAGAAACCTATCACTCTATAAATGCATAGTTTTGGAAAAATAAAAGCCGTGGGCTGATATTGGTTCAACCATTTGGCACGTGATCATTCATGAACGACTGTGTGCAATATTCAGATGACTTGTAACTGTTTCACGAGAACTAAATGAGAGAATTGATTTGGCACAGGTGATGAGATGATTTATCCTCTTGAGTGGCAACTGGTGAGTGTCAAGACAGAATAAATCAGAAAAGGAACCAATAATAAAACAAACATGCCTTTATGCCATGGGTTTGTTGAAATAGTACCTCATATAGCACTGTTTAGGCTTTGACTAAAGGCTTTTTTTCCTGAGCCCCTATGGACGCGAGTGAGTGTGGAGAGGACATGCAGAAAGATTTGCACATCTTTGCATCTTTGTGGATTTCCAAGTGTGAAGGTCTGGACAGGAGTTGTCTAGGCACTAGAGCAGTGGCTACAGTGACTGATGGTGATCTAACTACCTGGCACAATATTGATCAGAGCCCTGGGACCTGAACTTGCTTCTCCTCCTGCATGGTCATGCTGACATGACAGCATTCCAGAAGGATAATGCACATCTTCAAGCTGGTCATGTAAGCATGACTTTGAAAGAGGAGATTGTGACCGGCATACAACGCCAGCCCTACCTGCCAGACTTGAACCTCATTGAACGGGTGCGCGGTGATTTGAGATGATGTGGGGCATCTAGGGCTCAGAGACCAGCTCTCCAATCTGTTATGAGAGGAATGAGGCAGGATTACACAAGACAGTATCCACAACGACTTGCAAGGCATTGGTTACAGATGTACATCTTTTATTGTTTCCGATGGTCTACTAGCTTGCGAGTTTCAGTTTCAGCCCCCAGTAGGCGATAAGCATAATTAATTTATCTAGGTTGTGTCTCTTCATTAAAGTTCAGTTCACCTGCTACAAAAATTACTTTGTGATTAAGTTATGTTTCTTTTGATGCACAGTTGTTTACTCAATATTGTAAAATGCAGCCTGCTCAAATTTGAGTCCGCACTTTTATTCCAGACCTATGAGAAGTTACTTGAACAGCATGACTGCACAATGTGAACCTCCTGCCACACAAACTGAACAGCCCCATGTTTTAGGAGATCGGAGGCAGCAGAATTGTTTTTTATTTTCTGAGGGTAGCCAGGTTGGTGTAAATCACCATACCTCCTGAGTTTAAAGTATTCAGGATGCTGAGGACCTTAGGTCAAATTCTGTGTGAAACAAAAGGGTTATCTAACCACTGAAAGACTACATTCAGGACACAACTGCCTGGTATTTGCAAGCACACAAATTGCTTCCAATCCAAGTCCACCGTTGAAGCTTCTGGGTCTAATAACTTCATTCTATTGGTCCAGGTGGAAAATGTGTGAAAAGGTGACTCAATAGGCAGAGTTGAGGCCAGACCTTGCCCTTCTCCTTCAATCTGATAAATCAGACTTTTTTTAAATAAGAATTTGAATTTTGTATGCACATGTGTACAGGCTCCTGGACGTAAATCTATGTGAATGTGTGAAAGTGCACTGTAAAAATGATATATTTATACAACCTTAACGTAATAAATCCAACTGCAATTGTTTATAAAAAAAACTGAAACCTTAAAAAAAGTTATTGCCTTACAACTCTGGATTCTAAAGCCAGAGCTAAGAAATATGCCAAAAGCAAAGAAAATATACTGTACTTACACTATGTGTAGTGTAACTCTTAGAGAATGAAACTGTGTTTACTACTTTGTAGAAAAGAAAAATATGTATTACATTTCACTTGTTGTATAAGCTGGAATAAAGCTTAAAAGAACCAGGCGTGGTTGGTATTGTCTGTTTCTCCTAAACCTGACAACAAATTCTGTAATTGAATTTTTCAAAAATTACATAATAGAGGTCTTTAATGGCTGAAAGTGTTTTTTGGCTTTATAAACAGCATTTTGAAGCAAAAGACAGAATAAGACTTCCCTCTCTACTGTACCTACAGTAAGTGCTTTTCTTTCAGCTGTACATTAGGCTTTTACTCTGTACTGCAGTATTGAGTTAAAGCTGAATGAAGACACCAATGAATCACTCAATCAACTAAGCATTGCTTTATGAAGGAACAAGTAAAGGTTTATTCTATGCTGAAAAGAGAAGAAAACATTTGGTGTGAAGCCTGAAGAAGGCTCCACGGCCTAAATGGTGTTTCATTTTTCAGCGTAGAATAAACCTTTACTTGTTCCTTTGCAGCCAACGCATACTGACGCAGCTACCTGCTTGAATTGCAGTTTTACAGCAGAAAGTAGCCCACTGTGAGATGTTTTTTCCTCAGCTGGCTAGAGGGTCAGACTGATACCTTCCTCTTGTAGGAAGAGATAAATTAGTGATCGAATTATTTTTAAATACAAGCCCATGTTTATCGATACACCCATGGGACCCCATCACTCCAAAACCTTTTTTTTTAGACATTTTAGGTGCTGCACTGAACATTTGTATGTCTTACCATTTAAGACAAACTCAACACGGGACAACAGGTGAGTTTCAGAATCAATTTGTTATAAGGCGGTTACAATTAGATGTACATTTTATACAAACACTGTACAGATTTTGAGCATGCCACTATGGCACACAGTACCAGTATTACAGGTTTTTACGTAACCTGCGTCAGCTGCACTTATGCTACACCTATTTGTCCACAAATGTACATCTGAAGTTTGGCAAAAGTATCTGGACTAAATTAAAAAAAACTTTGTTCAATGGAAGTTAAGGAGAAAAAATGATATTTACTGTGAATTGACATAACTTCTAAAGTAGAATATGTTCCAGAAAGTACAAGTCTGACAATGAAAGGCCACTGTATAGAGAGGAATAAAATCCAAAATGAAGTGTTGAAACTGAAGCTTTTGTGTTTGGAGTTCATGGCCACACTGAAATCTTTCAAGCTGCAGGAAAGGAAAACAAACCAGGGCAGTTAAATACTGGGTAACATGAAAAATCAAAAAGGAAATTAAATATTCTGTAGTATTCTCTAAAGTAAAATCTAATAATTTGTGTATAAATTCGTGTTTAACACTTTTCAGATATATTGGGGAAAATAAGTCATATTCTACAGTACATATGCTGTGTGTATGATTTAGAGATGCCTAGTGTGATTGGGTCACCAGACTGAGATACAATGCCTTACACCAATTAGTATTCTCCACACAATTCCCTGCTTTGTTATGATTGCTTTACAAACAGCAAATCTGGGAGTCACACTGAACTTTTCATGAGATGAAAGCTTTGCAGTCGTGCCAGTTTCTTCAGATGCTGGGCTCTTGGAGGGGTACGGGCTGCATGGCGACGTTCCCAGGCTTAGAGCACGAGCTCGCTGGGCATCTTCCCTCCCATCAGTCCTGCCAGGAGGTTGTTGGCAGCCAGCACAGACATGATGCCCCTCGTAGAGTAGGTGGCACTGCCAATGTGTGGCAGGATAACTGAAACCATCGTGGGAAAAAATGACAAGTAAGAGCACAACAAAATGAAGAATGCAGACTGTAGTTGATTCAGAGACTCACTGATTGCATTCTCAAGTGGTTATCGCAATTCAGGAGTGTCACCATGATATCTAGAATCTTAAGACTTTAAATGTAACTTCTGCTTATGTCTGTGCAAAACACTGCACCTTGTTTCTTTTGAAATATTTGTTATGGAAGTAAACATCTGCACTAAAAGGAACTTTATACTAGTACATATGAGCTAATTAATATCACTTAATTAATTAATCACTTAATTAATATCACATAATTAATATCACTATAAACAAACTGTTATATTTCACAAACATCACATACGACTTACTGAAATGTAAAGTGGCAGACTGCAAATGTGAACTACAATTTCAGCCCATTCTGGATCCGACTCTTTCATCTGCCACTCACAGTCTTGGTCTTACCGCAGTTCTTCAGCTTCAGAAGAGGGTGGTCAGGGGGCAGGGGCTCAGGGGTGGTGACGTCCAGACCAGCCGCAGCTATCTGTCCACTGGACAGGGCCTCGTACAGGTCCTCCTGGTTCACCACGGCACCTCTGGACAAACCAGAAAACAGAAATACCAGCTGGATGTGCCCCTTTATCTCACCTTGCTCCAACTGCACACTCTGCCTATCAAAGCCATAACAGAAACGACACAAGTCGAAGAAAACGAAGAAGTCAGGTTGCCGGACGTGTGCATTTTTATACCCTGGACAATAAATGCCCTTTTATAAAGCTTTCAGTATCAACCACAGGCAACTCTATTCACCAAATGCCAGAATAATGTAGGTTTTAAATTAGCAATCAATGAAGAACCAGGGATATGACTTCTATAAAAATAATTTAGTTTAGTTAAATCTTGATGCCAGACTGTATGTAAACTACCGACATCATGTTCCCCGAAGACTGCAGTTGTCCATTCCTGATGGATATGAGCGCACACAGTGCCCAGATAAAGAGCACATGGTTCTCATGTGGGCAACGAAGGCAGTGGGACCTTTCTGGCACCTGGGCTGGCGTTCCGTTTGGTCATTAGGAGCGGTCAGTGTATTTGTTGGAGGGGACAAGAGCACTCGCACGCCATCTGATGTCTGTGGGGTTGAATGCATTTTAACTGCCAGGCTATGGTGCTCTTACCTCACTGAGGTACACGGGCACACTTTCCTCTTCCCTTTCAGGAACAGGAGGACAGGGAGGAGGGTTTCATATTTTAGAGATTTGTGTCATTCTCGTGACATTTGATATGGTATTAACAGGTTCAACCATTACTTCGCTCAATCAAATACATCCGATTAATTACATATTTCCTATGAAAAAACATCATAGAGGAGTAACATTAACAGCAAAGCAACTGCCTAGTTAAAACGTGGTCTGCTGTACCTGCTGGAGTTGACAAACACTGCGGTTTTCTTCATTTTGCCAAAGAAGTCCTTGCTGCACAGCTGTTGCGTTTCAGGAGTCAAAGCACAGGACACAACCACAAAGTCGGACTCTCCCAGTAGTGCGTCCAAAGGCACTGGAGACAAGAGGGCTGGGAATTAGGATCTTCCGGATTGACGCGAGCTCAAGAATGGAGAGGGGCAGCACACAGCCCGTCTGCTCTCCCGCTGTGCCCCTTCCCTCTGTTAATTAATAATAATAATAATAATAATTGCTTACACTTATATAGTGCTTTTCTGGACACTCCACTCAAAGCGCTTTACAGGTAATGGGGATCCCCTCCACCACCACCAATGTGCAGCCCCACCTGGATGATGCGACGGCAGCCATAGTGCGCCAGAACGCTCACCACACATCAGCTCTCAGTGGGGAGGAGAGCAGAGTAATGAAGCCAATTCATAGATGGGGATGATTAGGATGATTGGTAAGGGCCAATGGGAAATTTGGCCAGCCCTACTCTTTTCGAAAAACACCCTGGGATTTTTAATGACCACAGAGAGTCAGGACCTCGGATTTACGTCTCATCCGAAGGACGGCGCCTGTTTGCAGTAGAGTGTTCCCGTCACTATACTGGGGCATTAGAACCCACATGGACCACAGGGTGAGCACCCCCTGCTGGCCCCACTAACACCTCTTCCAGCAGCAACCTTAGTTTTTCCCAGGAGGTCTCCCATCCAGGTACTGACCAGGCTCACACCTGCAGAGCTTCAGTGGGTTGCCAGTTGTGAGTTGCAGAGTGATATGGCTGCTGGCTCTGTTCCTACAGGGGCTGTTTCTCCCACATCAGCGTGGCCCCATCCTGCTCTCAGCCTGCACTCACAGATTCAATTCACCACAGCAGCTAATGTGCACTCGCCTCCCCTGCCTAATAAAACTGATAAGGGGGCAGAGCAGTGGCACTGTGGCTAAGGAATTGCGCTTGTGGGTGGAAGGTTGCCGGTTCAAATCCCACGACCGGCAGAGGTCCCCGAGCAAGGCCCTTAACCCCAGCTGCTCCAGGCGTGCCGTATAAATGGCTCTGACCTCATGCTTCTGTCTTCCCGTCTGTGTGTCTGTGTCTCATGGAGAGCAAGCTGGGGTATGCGAAAAGACAAAGTCCTAATGCAAGAAATTGTATATGGCCAATAAAGTGATCTCTTATGTGTAGAGAGAGTATTGGGTGTGACTCAACTAGCACAGGGCAGGGCAGCTTAGCTGCCTGAACAGGCTGCTCAAACCCCCTATGTAGTCTGATGCAAGGGTGTAAATGGGGTGGTTGCAGAGGGATGCAAGACACAAAGGGAAGACCTGCGTGCGAGATTTATATAAGCAGGCGAGTGGAACTGTGCGAGAATAGGAGACTGAGGATCTAACCATCCTCCTGAAGTTCTGTTATATACACGAGCAGGTGGGGCTCGTTTGGCACAACGGTTTGCACTCGTTTCAGTTTTTCCCAGCTGTAGACACTGCAGTGGATCAGCAGAAAAGATAAGTGTCGTGTATCTAGCCCTTACAAATGTCCCCCACCTAAGGTAGTAAGTCTGGAAGATGCAGCACCTGGTGCTGACTTCTACAAGAGTCGCCCGCTTTTCGAAACCACGCCTGGATGAAAGGGCAGCCCAGTGTGCTCTATCAGGTCTCCCGTCAACCCTCATCTCCGCACTGCTTGCCCTGCGGCTCTTACCAAACTCTCCTTCCACCTCGGAGGCCTCTGGCTTGGGTGTCCGCCCCCAGTATAGCAGACGTTTCACTCCAAAGGGCTTCAGCCTCTTGGCAATGGCCAGACCTGGAGGAAACAGAGGCATGGCAGAGTCACACTGACGTCTTTTCATCATGAAATTCAGTACGTGGGCAGCAACTTGAATCATTTTTTTCAGAACTATGACGAGGCCGACATTGTACCTTGAAAACGTCACATGAGGAACCTTAAATTTCCTTAAACTGCAGTGTTTCCTTGAAATGTCAACATGGCTTGGCTTAAGGAACAATACTGCTTAACTAACTTCTTGTAGTCATCAAGCTTCTAGCAATCAAATACGCTAGAAGGCCTCCTCTCATTTAAAACCTCTCGTATTCTTTAAGTATTGGTCATCCCCGACACGATATTGTCCTGTTTTTTACATGTATTTACAGAATACATGTTTGTGTCTCTACCATTTTGCTTTTGAAATTTAAAAATAATACAAAAAATGAAATGTTTGCCTTCTACATATCAGTGACGGACTGTCTGAAGCACAGCCGAATCATTTCTCGTCATGCTTCTACAATCCAGAAAACTAGAAAGGCGTAATTTTCTGACGGTGTTTTCAGATTCCTGCGAAAACAGACAGCTGGGGTAGAACTCAAGTGGCTGAAGGGCTTAGCCATCCCGTAATTATCTGTTCTCTACCATGGGGCACTCTGCTACTCTGATAATGCTGCAATAGCACTATCTGTGGAAACTTTTCTACTGCACACAGCTCCAGATAGCACCATCCCACTGAGTGGATTTCACAGGTCATCACAGGGCACGCTATCACTTCATGTTACTTTGAGTCTAACGATTCTGAGTCGTTTCTAACCTCCTCAGAGGGAAATCTAAATCCAGCTTGGGGCGATTCAAAAATCTGTTACCCCAAGAACAGCTCCAGCTGCATATACTCAGAGTCAGCAGCAAGAGGACTTTTCAATATCTGCCTACAGCTGTCATCTAGAAAGCTGAAATAAAATTCACTTTGCCTAAAATTACAGTTGGTCATCCGAGTATTCAAAATGTCGACGCCTAGAAATGTTGCAGAAAAACACACAGTGCTGATTCTGGCTCTTGACAGTGACACCAAGTTGATTCGGACAATAACTCCAGTGACTGTGTGCAATGCCTTGTTTTAAACAGGCATCCACCAAAGTGAATCATTAGCTGGTTTATCTATGAGGTTAATCTTTATGAGTGTGATGTTCCCTGCCAGTACTATGCAAAGGCCAATGACCTGGCATGATCAGATTATCTGTCATTGGTGGCCTCAAACTATTATTAAGCATTTCTTTAATTTGTACTTAGGCAATTATTTAGGGTTGACCATGTTAATGCTTCAGTGGCAAAAGAAATACCTATTCGTCCAAGGCCAATGACACCCACGGTGCTCCCAGAGAGGCCATAACCACACATCCACAACGGCTTCCAGGTGCTCCAGCCTCCACTGGATGAAAGAATCAATGTCAGAGGGCAAAGATCAAAGGTCATGTCCCCTCCCTTCGCAGAGCGGAAATATAGACCTTTCAGCATTCCGCCCAATAACAACACAACTTGTCTGGTTAGATCACAGAGGTCGTTCAAGGCTGCCTGGGACAGCAGCTGAATGAGAGACTTATAATTACCGTTAGGTGCTACAGGAAGAGACGTTACATTAGAGACAGGTACACTGTAATTTCTTAGCCATTCTCTCACCCAGGGGGGGACAGTCTAGGATGAGCTGCAGAAGGAGTATGGCTCAGAAACTTGAGAAACTTGAGAATTAAGAAAAAGTAACAGGCCTTTTACTTTCCATGATGTGTTTGTTACCATGAGGGTCACCAGTTTGGTTTCATGACATGATACTTCCAAGAGGAATATTTCACAGTTTGAACCTGCGACACATCTCGCCTCCTGACTAGTGGGAAAGTTAAAAAAAAACAAAACGAGGCCCGACTCAGGCAGAAGCCGGTGTGAAACAGGAACGGGAACAGGAACCGATGCACACGCTCCCCGCATCCAACTACACGAGTCGGCTTCTGTGCCGAGACTTACTTCTTCACCTCCGCCACGGCCTCCGGGATTCTCCGTGCTGTGGCCAGCAGGAGTGCCACGGTGAGCTCAGCTGTGGCATCTGTCAGCACGTCAGGAGTGTAGCCGACTCTTATGCCCCTGAAACACAGCCAATGAGCAGCGAGGTGTGAGACAGCACCGCAACGCGGAATCTGCACTGGTGAATCCTGCAGCACCTGGCTTGGCACAGAGAAAGGGACACTAGAGGAATAAAGCACCAGATCCTGAGACGATGGAAACACTTATATCTCTCATGATCCTAGTCTGTGGCTTAAACAGCCACGTGTAACTTTAGGCAGACACGTGGCCTATTGGAGGAAAGATATGGGGAAGGCAAGGGCTGCTTTTGGATCTACTGAGGCTGTGAGGCACGAGAGTTGGTGGTGCTGACCGGTTTCTGATGTCTTCAATGGCAAGGTGGTCAAAGCCGACAGACAGAGTGCTGATGACCTTCAGATCCGGCCCTGGAGACGAAGACCAAAAAAAAAAAAAAGCAGCTCTAAAAAAGTCTAACAAGTCAAACAAACTTCAAAAACCGAAACAACATTGTTGACATCAATCCGTTGGCACGGGGAGACGACAGCCACAAGATGGCACGCAATTATTAAGTCACTAAAACGAATGACTAATCCCATGAATTCTCATTCATCTCGTGGATAATCTCCTATGAGAAAATACATTCAGAAGCTTACCGGCATGAATCATTTCTACCCACCGCTGTCACATAAGCTCTGGCCTCACCTTTCTGACCTGGAAAGAATCTCGCTTTATACAGTATAACCGCAACTACAGCAGTGGCTTTTTTTCTCTTTAATATTAGAACCTGCCCTTTTGCCTTAACAGATGGTATTGTGAGAAATGACCGTGATCATAACCAAAACACACATCAATTCCAAGTGAGTTTACGTCAGCGTGACATATTTTGAATGTTGGAAACTGCACTGCATAATTTGCCGTTTTTAGTTTATATACACGTTATACTTCCACCACGTCAGGACCACAACAGGGTTTTTTTTTTTGCCCTGCCTGGGAAGGTATCACCCCCCCGCACCAACGCGGCTCCAACGGGGAAAGGGAAATAAGGCGAGAACGGACCCACCTGCAGCATCCAGCACCTCCTGGTCGATTTTGTCCGACAGAAGACAGAGCAGCCCCCGAGCCCCCGACACTCCCTTCAGCAGCTCCGCCTGGGGGACGGGCTCGTCCGAGTCCCACAGTTGCACGTGACATCTGAGACACACACAGATCCACGCTGCGTTACGCGTCACGCATCGTGCACGAAACACGGGGCCTCTTGGGACGACTTTCATCAGGGAAAATGACAGCAGCTTGGGGACTCAGGGTGCATACAGAGAGGACGATTTGATAATATCACTACAGGACTGGCGAGAAGCGTGCCCAGGATGACTGTTTGCAGACACCGTTCAGCTGCGGAGGACTTCTTCTGTGTTGCTACAGATGCTCGATTAGAATACTGTAATACACAGTGATGAAAGCACAATGGGAAGCACTTTTCCTGAATTATGTTTATATGCAAGTGTATATCGTGTGTAGGTGTGAAATATTACATGTAAAAAAAAATGGGTGGCAACTTAAGGTTAAGTGATCTCGTATCCTATAATGCTACTAAAATATGACTGTGCAGTAAGAGCTGTGGGGGCTTGCATATTGGTAGATGGCTTCAATTAGTTCTTTGGGGAATCTGTCTTGAAGACTGAGGAAGAAACGTTACTGTTGGAAACACCAAGCTCATGAAAAAGACTCAGGTGCAGTATTTATGTTTACATATCATTTCTGTCTTCTATTGCAGACAATGTTGACTAGGCAATAAAAAAAGCAATCAATGTTAGGATATATAGTTGTATAGTGTAAAATTCAAATCAAGGGTTGACGGTTTTCCATTGAAAACTGCTTTACATACAGAACGAAATTTACCTTTTCCACCACTAAAATGCAGTATTTTTCTGTAGCGCTAACCATACACAGGTTGCCTACTGTATGTTCTCTAAACGTTGAAGTAAAGGTTTAGTAATTTAGGTTGTAATTATTATTTTTAAATTTCGACTCTAATCCCCGCGGGACTGTTTTCTTTTCCTTTGAAGAAATTTTGCCTGTGGGATTCTGGAAGAATATTTAAAACAATCCTGTATTGTTATTTTTGATAGGGATTCACTTACTGTAACGTTGTTTCTTGTGGACTGGAAAGGTTATTTTTGAGTGAGTTTCGTTTAAAAGACACAAAGACAAACAGAAGTTCAGAATATCTTAAAGGAGTTTTTTTTTCCACCAACAGCACACCTGTAACTGCGGCCTGCTGTACGACCCCAGAAGCGCTGTACAATTCTGACCCAATCAATGAACGTTATTCACGATACATTTAAGTACACGTCTTACGCATATTGCGTACTGTTGCAATTCAAAATCATGAAACGATCCCTGTTAAAAAAGAAAATCAGCCTCGTTATTCCAGTAATTTACTATAAATTACTAAAGCATGCGTAATTCTTAATAAAGCATGCTAATCTGTTTGTTTTTTTCAAATTCACATGCACTTTTAACTGCATTTGCACGCACACACACACATTCTACAGCACCGACACAGTAAACTCAAGGAACTGTAAAACGCTCACATCCCCGACTGTGACAAAACCTTCAGTCCCTCCTGGGGTATTCTCCTAGTGACGAACACCTTCACGAGCTGCTGAGCGGCCTGCATTTGGGAACAATTGTACGAAAGCAAGAGAGCGCTTGTCTGCAAGGGGACAAGGAAGAGAGGAAAAAAAAACAACTCGAGAGGCTTCACGGGTCCAGTCCTCTGAATGAGGCGTGCGCACCGGCGGGACGTCGTCTACGTGCAGTCGCTCTCGCAGAAGAGCAGAGAGCGCCACCTCGTGTTTTCCTTTGGGCCACACCAGTAGTGTGCAAAGGACCCACCGTCTCGAGTAAAACCGCTTACGGCATTCTGACAATTTGTGACACTTGTTTTCATTCGTTTTTCAACCGACATAAATACACGATACATGAGCTAGATATTAAAGTAATATTACAGAATATGGCATTTTTTGGGGGGCACGGGTGTTTCGTCTGAGAACAATTTACGAAAAGGAAAAAACGCAGCATTTAGAATCTCTGGCCCGTGCCCTCCCTAATCTTCCCTCATAAAAAGAGGTTAAACTGAAGGATAAAAAACGGAAGACAGAACAAAAGAACAAAATACTGATTCCGCTGAACAGTGGAGTAAGAAACAAAAAAAGTGGAAGGCCTGTCCCATCAGATATCACCTTAATGCCAATGAGCAGCAGTTTAAGGTCTAGGGTGTAGAAGGGAGACTCACAGTCTCAAAATAGTTCAGAAATGATTGTCAATCTTTAAAAAAAAATAAATAAAGGTGGATTTGCTAAGTGTGTATTTAATTTTCTCCAAATTGAATCTCATCTCTAATCCGTTGAACGAACGTGAGTTGGGGCAGCTTGCAAAGAGAACTGTAAAAGCCAGGCTGTCAGACTGTATGTGTGAGAGGGTGAGGTTATCAGGCGGCATGCCAAAAACAGCAACAAAAGGAGCGGGTTCCATTTCAAGATGAGGAATATAAGAAAAAGAGGCAAAAACGGAGGACCAGAAATGAACCATTTTAGGAGGAGAACAACAAGATATAGAGTGGCACCCACAACTGTGAGCTTGGCCACATCTGTCACGTGTTCGGTCAAAATTAGGAAAACGCCTGGCAAGCTCAGACTTAGACATATGTAGGCAGTGTATAATTTTAAACTGTACAAGACCATACCTGGCACTGATGTGGGCTCCCACTGGCCCTTTTGAATAACTTTGTCCTGATTTTCTACCCACAACATTTTAACTACAGACACGGACAGACTATGGAATGAAAGAAATGAGTATTATTTTTCATAGAAAACTAACTGCTACACAATGTGTTGTATTGACCCCCCCCAAAAAAAGCTTTTGACAATGAACAAATGTTTTAAAGAAAACGTTTATTGACTTTTGGAATATTACAGTCAACCAGGCAAAGGAAGAGGTAATTTATACAGCTATCTTTAATACCTCCGGCAGAAAGTACAACACAACCAATATGTAATGTGTTTTACAAACCCCTATGCCTGTACTGTGATACGAAAAATGTAAGATCTTTGGGCATCAAAAATATTATTTCAGTGGGGACATAATTGCATTTTATAACTGTTAAATGTTGGCTGACAAAGAGCTTTGCATAGTCATTGCACTCAGTAATTAAAGGCAGTCCTGTGCCACACAGTTATGTCCATTGATTGATTGGCACATATCCTGTGGTAACAGTTAAATTAGGTTTTTGGGGAAAATATGACCTAGCTCCAGGAGCCACTTTTCAGAAATGCACCCATAGAGGAGGCCAAAGCTACCCTCGTCAGGCGTCTGGGGAAGACAGCGAATACCCATAAGGCCAAGGGTGCCCTGGCCATTCCTGCTCAGCGTTTACAGCTTCAGTTCCTTGGGCATGGGCTCCCCCTTCAGGCCAGCCAGCAGGTTGTTCGCCGCCAGAGCAGACATGGAGTTTCGGGTGGTGTAGGAGGCGCTGGCGATGTGGGGCAGGATAACTAAATGGAGAAGGAAGAGGGTCACCTCCATTCCTATCACAGGCATGCATGGGACATGAGGTGTATTTGTCTACGGCAAACAAAACCTTTTTAGGGTTTATCCAGCAGAATGGGAGGTTTGAGTGTTGCTGGATGCAGTGCAGGTTTTCACAATTTATTAGAATTGCCTTCTAAAAGTATAAGAGTTCATTGTTGATGGAATAATAATGTTTCTGTGTACATTTCTTTATTGCAGTTTAACATTGTCAGATGTCTGCATGTTTTGCACCTTGTGCTCTATGTAAGCCTCAGTTTTTCAATGTGGGTTTGTAATATTTTTCATGAGAAAAAATGTGAAGTCTGATTTAATTGATTATTAATACAAACAAAAACTATGGGTCTGTTTTAAGATTATGGGCCTAACATGATTTAAAGGGGAACCGGCATCCTGATTTCTCAGACTGGTTATTAAATCTTGGTAAAAAAATAAATTCATTGATGTTATAGGAAAAAAATCACAATTTTCACAAAGTCGCCTTGTTGTCACAAACTTGCCTTAGAGTTCCCACAAAAAAAGAAAAAAAAGTTCCCACAAACTGTGACGTGACGCCCTTCCTGCTCCCTAGTTTCTGTAATAACTAATGTAATGTGATGTACGAGCGAATAAATACAGGTTATGCAGCCGAAATTTCACTGCAGAAATGTTCCAACATGATATGCCTGCAGAGTTAACAAGTATGTAGTATTTGTGGGCAAATCGAATCCCAAACTTGAAAGCGATATTTCTATTGGATTAAATGAGACGTATTCATAAGCCTGCTTGTTTACAATCTAATATGGCCACAACAAGTCACCAGCAGTTTTTTTGCCTTGTTCTGAATCACAGAACATGGTGCTGCACATACCTGGACATTTTGTCTCTTTTGTAATGTAAATTTGAGGTTTTCCAAGTTACTGTGTACATTTTACTTTTACTGCGGTTTGAAATGCACTCCTCGATGCCAATTCCATCTAACCCTGAAATATGAAAATAGCGTCATAGTTCCCCTTCAAGTGCCTGATATTATGCAGCCTCAAGCAGGCCTGTGCTGACAATGTTAAAGCACCCGAGGGCCAGCAATGTCCAGGTGAGCAGGGAAGGCTTCATGCCTTTTGCAATGGTGTTAATTAATAATAATTATGAATAATTGCTTACACTTATATAGCGCTTTTCTGGACACTCCACTGAAAGCACTTTACAGGTAATGGGGACTCCCCTCCACCACCACCAATGTGCAGCCCCACCTGGATGATGCGACGGCAGCCATAGTGCGCCAGAACACTCACCACACACCAGCTCTCAGTGGGGAGGAGAGCAGAGTAATGAAGCCAATTCATAGATGGGGATTATTAGGAGGCCATGATTGGTAAGGGCCAATGGGAACTTTGGCCAGGACGCCGGGGTTACACCCCTACTCTTTTCGAGAAACGCCCTGGGATTTTTAATGACCACAGAGAGTCAGGACCTCGGTTTTACGTCTCATCCGAAGGACGGCGCCTGTTTACAGTATAGTGTCCCCGTCACTATACTGGGGCATTAGGACCCAAATGAGCCGCAGGGTGAGCGCCCCCTGCTGGCCCCACTAACACCTCTTCCAGCAGCAACCTTAGTTTTTCCCAGGAGGTCTCCCATCCAGGTACTGGCCAGGCTCACACCTGCTGAGCTCCAGTGGGCTGCCAGTTGTGAGTTGCAGGGTGATATGGCTGCTGCGTGTGGCGTTGCATTTTGGCCAGACTTACCGCAGTTCTTCAGTTTGAACAGAGGGTGGTCAGGGGGCAGGGGCTCAGGGGTGGTGACGTCCAGTCCGGCTGCAGCTATCTGTCCACTGGACAGGGCCTCGTACAGGTCCTCCTGATTCACCACGGGACCTCTGGACACAGCAGACAAAGGTGGGGAGAAAGGAGGCAACTGACCTGATTTTCACTATAAACTACACATTTTATCCTGGAGGCTAGATCCCACCCTAAGAGAGATCTATACATGTATCTATTTTATCTTAAATTTTGTTGCAGTTTCTTCAAGTTTTGAAAGATGAAGCATCACCTTCAGTAAACTGATTTGTTACATTTTTGAAAGTACAAGAAATAAACAACCCATTTTTGAGGTAGGACACAACACTACTGTTTGAGAATTCAACCTCATTTCGACATAAAATGTCCACTTCACGTCACTTACAGGGACAGAACTGGAAGGCTGAGAAACCGGGTGGATGGCTAAGACATCACTGTACCTGTCTCATTATTGCTCAAGGGAACTTTATGAACCAGGCCTACCCCAGCTCAGCAGAAGATCTGACAGAGGCGAGGGAGGGAGTGGTTCGAACCCTGGGTGTGCCGTACCTGCTGGTGTTGATGAACACGGCCGTCTTCTTCATCTTGGAGAAGAGGCTATGGTTACAAATGCCCTGCGTCTCGGGAGTCAGAGCACAGCACACTGCCAGGAAGTCAGACTCCCTCGCCAGCTCATCCATGGTCACTAGAGAAGCAGGAAAACTTAAATGGAGTTCATTCCAGCAGCCTGCCAAGCTTCTGACACGGCCTCACCTGGCCTTGTACTCCACCTGCAGTAGTTCATGTGGTGGAAATTTTCAAATATCCATCCTCTTGAAAACCCCCTTGAGTGAATATCCAGTTTTGTTTTACGTTCAGTTATACAGTAGGTAAAGGGTCCATACTAGAGGCACAGCTCCTCACTGGATCATCTTGGTTTCTGTGGTGTTAAGTGCACTAGAGAGCATGTGAGACTCCCCACAGACAGGACACTGATCCATCAGGGTTACCTCCCCCAGCAATGTTTGTCCCCACTTAAACATCTGGGTGGACTGGAACATCTGGGGTAAAACGCCCCATATAAAGACTCTGAAAACTCTCTGCTGGCTACATTGGCTGAGTACTTCGTTTTCTGCCTCCACTCACCATACTCTGCTTGTATCTTACTGGCCAGCTCCGTTCTTGGGGCCACATCCGTGTAGATGAACCTCTTGACTCCAAAGGGCTTCAGGCGCTCGGCGATGGCCACCCCTGCCACCCACAACAAAGAGGTTAGCAGCACATCAAGCCCTCGCCTACCTTCCAGAGGCCTCATCAATTTGAAATCCTCTCACATCATTAAACAACAACACCGGTGGACAAAGAACAAGGCCTTCGCCCTCAACCCGGACACTTGTCATTGCTAAGTGCTGGGCAAAATCTTTGCTGGAGATAAGTGGACATTTATTTTCATTACGTAGTGACCTGCCCTCTGGAAGATTCATTCTGCAGATGAACCTTTTTCAAATACAGTTCTCTTGACACAATGAGGCTGCGTCGGCAGAAATAATCAAAATAATAAAGTTATGTTTGGCTCTTTTGAAGCTCTCTTTTACAGATTATTAGTAGGATTAATAGCTTAATAATAATAATCAACTTATAGGAGAGCAGGCAACAGGTCATTGGCTGCAGTCTACTGCAAATCCTATTTTGACCACTGAAAATACAGAACGTGGTGTGAAAGCAGGGGTGTCCGGGTCCTCTGGAAGATAATAAGAGTGGGATTGTGGGCACTCCTACCTATCCTGCCCAGGCCCATTATTCCCACAGTGCTTTGATTGAGCTCATAGCCACACAGCCACATTGTCCTCCAGGTCCCCCAGCCTCCACTGCAATTAAAGAAAAAGCACAGAGCCCTTAATCAGCTGTGAACATGGAAATGTGGGGCAGTTCTGCATTGCACCCTAATGCATTCTAATTTGCTGCACTGTAACAAAAGCACGCACACACACACACACACACACACACACACACACACAGTAACACACACTGCTCGTTCTCATCTGCTAGCTACCGAAGCCCCAGCTTTTTAAATCTGCAGAGACTGTAAACTCGCACTGGGGCCTGGTGCTACAGATGGACCCCCACTCACCCCCTTTTTACATAAATCAAAGGTCTCCGAGTATCTGACTTCTGCAGCATATCTGCCTTTGAGATCAGCGTTTCCAGGACACGTTCACTGTATTCCATCGCACACTGAACACTCACAGTGCTATCCTGTTCCTTTCTATGTCAAACCACCGCACGGCCACTGTTTGCTACAGCACCCTGGCTTTTAATTCCCTGAATGGCTTTCATACCTTCCAGCAGGAATCAACACGTTGGGTTTTTTTCCCCGCCATGTGCACAAAACAGCTTTGCTTCAGCTAAAAGCGCCTTTGGTCCTTTCTTTCTAAAATGCGAGGCAGGTGCTGTAGGCAAGTTCAGTGTTGACCTGTCTGTCAGTGTTGACCTTGACCTGGAGCAAGTGGCCTCCGACTCTGGGCCTACAGAGCCCTTATCCTCCAGGTCTGAGACGCGTCTCCAATCAGTAGCTAAAAAACAGAACCAGTAACTCTGGAGGGCCAGCGTGGGAGATCTCGGGTGTTGGGATAAGGAATTTGTCACGATCGCTAACCCCTCCTCTTAAGGGAGCTCCAGCCCTTCCTCGTTCCTGCCCATTGTCTGCACCTGTTCCCTATTCCCGTTCCCCCTTTAAAGCCAGACGCTGACCTCACTCCTGGCTTCTCATTGATTTCCGTGTCGTGAGAGCCCGGGGTCCTGCTGCGTCTGGCTCCGTTATGGTTTTAGTTTCCTGGTCCTGATTCCCTGCCCCGCCGGTCCCGACCCGGTTCTGGTTTTAACTACGGATGGATCCCCTGGTCTTGGACTAAACCTCTCGTCTTGGATTCCTCCTCTGGATTTACCCTTGGATTGTTCGCCCTGGATTCACTCCCCCCGGACACTAGCACTGCATGGACACGCCCCCCTGTCTCCTGACCGACTCCTGCATGATATTTTTCCCCTTGTGTCTTCACTATTCTGGATTGCGTCGTCCGCATAGGGCCCGGAAAGAACTGTTCGTGACAGAATTATAGGACGGGCCGAGGCCGTAGCGCACAGGGTGAAGGGGTGAAGGGTGATAGGCGACTGGGGACTTGCGTTTTGGCCTCCTCCACAGCCTCGATGAGCCGGCGCGAGGTGGCGAGCAGCAGGGCGACGGTCAGCTCCGCCACGGCGTCCGTCAGCACGTCCGGAGTGTAGCCCACGCGTATCCCCCTGCACGGAGACACGGACATCGTGAAGAAGCCAGGTCTGGCAGGCGTTTCCCCCCGCCATGAACCCGACAGGCTCGCAGCACCTAGGAGGGACACAGGGCTGCACTACCACTCTGCTCAGAGGGTACCCTTGGGAGATTATAGCTGCTTTGTCTAATCAGTGCACCACCGGTACTGTCTCTCATCTGTCGATTTCCAGATCAACAGCTTTTTTACAGCGGAAAAGCAAGGAAGAATAATGGTTCTAGTATGTGCATATTAGATAAGGATAAACCATCAGACTGTATCTGTCACGGATGTCGGGAGGGACAAACCGTGGAGAGGCAGGAGAGCAGAAAAAGACCCTATGCGAAGTGGCGGAATGGGGAGTCAGCCCGGGCTCAGCAGTGCAAAGAGTTCTGGAGTGCCGTATAGAGACCCATGCCCTCAGGCCACGGAGCGGCGACCTGGTGCTAGGCGGGTCTCAGGACATCCGAACGTCAATGCTGAGCGAAGCAGAATAAGTGACCCGGAAATATATAGGCCCAGAGAGAGAGAGAGACACCGGAAGGAGAGCAAAGCACAGGAAACTAGGGACAGGACAGAGAAGGAGCGCCTTCTGGCTGCAGAGGGTGTGACAGTACCTTCAAAGTGCACCACTCTACTGTTTCTCTGTAATCAATAACCCACTGGGAATTCTTAATGCACGAGTGCCCAATAGCTCAACAAGTGAAGGCACTTGTCCAAGCGCAGGCTTAGCTCTGTGATCACGGGGGTCCAGCCTGGGTGATGTCACTAGCAGACCCTAAACAGTGGCACACAATCAGCAGAGCGATTCTGAGGGTAGGGTGGGATTATTTGACCAGAGGTCTTGTAGTGACCCCTGTAGGAATTCAGTGCTTATACGGACATATGTCTCCTCCACTTAGCACTGAACCTCCAGCAGGGGGCTGCGTTTGCGGGCTTCGTGCATTCATAGCAGCTCCGAATCACGATTGGCAATGGTAATGGTGTGAAACAAAAAAAACAAATCACTTGAATAATGAGTGGGTTTTTAAAGTCACATTTTGATGGTGTTTCCTCATGAAACACCCACAAACACAAGGAAAAAAGACACAGGGCACAGGCTAGCAATTAATGAGGAGGAAAAGAACAAACTGCAGGCGCACACATGTAACAGCACAAACCTCTTCTTGAGCTCTGGCAGGGAGAGGTGGTCATATCCCACTGACATGGTGCTCACGACTTTCAGATTAGGCCCTACACAGACACAAAGCAATATCGACAATTAGAGTGGATTTTCTCAGTGAAGCAGCACTCACAGCATCAGCAACTCTGCTATCTGCTGTGCTTCCAACTTCCTAATCTTCCTTGCTGTCTGCTGTGATTTCCCTTCAAGATCTAGGATTCCTGTCCATGGTGGCTGGAACTGTACTTTACCAGTGAAATTAGATCTTTTCTTTCGGATAAATGCTGTATGTGGCAGGTGTCCTCAGGGCATCTTAACAGCTAGTTCTTAACAGCTGAGCATGGCTGTTTGTTGAGCTCTGAGTACAACTTGATTTGAATGCATTTTTTTTTCCATCTTCAGGTGAACGTTCCGGAGTTCAATATCCAAATACAGCAACAGCAATTCATTATGACCAAAAAGGTAGTTAACAAATAAAGCAAGAAATGAGAACGTCTCAGTATCAGGGCAATTAATGCTAACCTCCAAGTACACAACCCAGAAATACTTTTTATTTTTTGAATTTCAGAAAATATTGATATTTTATATTGTAATCTTACTTTCCGGCAATTTAAATGAGCTAGAATTAGGTGGGCTGATGACAAATTATACCAAACACTCCCGAAGTAGCTTCTGCTCCAAATTTCACAACTCCATTCCGGCTGAAAATCAGAACAGGAAAAAACAATGAGGTGCATACAATTCATATCGGGTTTAAAGTTTGAAAAATTGTTTATCCACTGTTCACAATTTTGGTTCATGGGGTTACAGTTGAGTTCTGAACTGCTCCTTTTAGAATTACAGACACCACACCTACAACCTGCTGGCTGGTCACTCAGTTCTCTGGCGCAGGAGGCCGGCAAGAGGCAGGGCCTCAGTCCAGCCAGGCTGCCTCACCTGCGGCCTCTAGCACCTCCGAGTCGATCTTCTCAGTGAGCACACAGAGCAGCCCCTCCACTCCTTCCACCCTCTTCAGCAGCTCCTTCCTTGGCACAGGGTCATCGGAGTCCCACAGCTCAAACTGCACCCTGCAATACAGGAGGGGAGGAGGGGTGCATTATGCAGAATTATAAACTTTATTTTATATAGTGCTTTTAAAAGTGCCTTTTCAAAGCACTTTACTCGAAGAAAAAATGAGAGGAGAGGCGACAGCAGAATTCACACAATTACAGCAAGGGTTTGGAATGCAGTAGGAATATAAAGGGGTAGACACAGAACCAATTAAGACAAATTAAGCAAAAGGCTTTCTAAAGAAGAAGGTTTTGAGTCTGGATTTGAAAGTGCTCAGGGAAGGCGACTCTCTAATATCCTTGGGGATACAATTCCAGAGCTGTGGGCCACAGCAGGAGGAGGCTCTGTCACCCATAGAGAGTACATAGGCTTTGGGGACAGACAGGAGACGAGAGACACATGAAAAACCCCGACAGGTACTGAGGTGCCAGGCATACAGTATATACAGCCTTATAGGCGAGAATGAGGATTTTGAAATCAACACAAAACCTGATAGGAAGCCAGTGCAAAGACTCCAGGACAGGAGTAATGAGATCAACATTTAAAAAAGGAAAACAAAGGCGGGCATGTTTATTGCATGTGACTTGAAGAGATTGTATTCAAGACTTTGGGGTGAAGAGAGGCAGCATAGTAGCACGAGAGTCTTTGGTAATGGGATCTGTCTATGTTTTAAATACTTTAAGAACATAAGGACGTTTCCAAATGAGAGATCACTGGGCCATGGAGTAACTGATCGATCTAATGAACACATTTTGAAAGGAATTTCGTGTTTCTTCATGACAATGAGGCTGGGTAATTTCAGATTTCAATACCTCAAGGAGCTTGTTTGAGCTCCTTCTCTTGGGAAGAAAGTTGACACACATTGAGCTCTTCCAGAAGAGCACCTACTGTATCTTTAAGCTATTCAGTCTCTTTACAATTCACGGAAATTTTACTCTTACAAAATTTTTGTAGTGCCCTTGTCCTAGTAACTAGTCACACAAGTACATAAAAATTCATTCACAAAGTGCAAATTAATTAAATTAATGAACGCAGCTCTGGTCCTGGAGAGCTGTAGTTTTTCATCTCATCTTTCAATCATTTAATTGGACCAGTTGTTTATCTAAAAGGTATCTGCCTTTTTAAAGATCACTTACAAAAGTTGCAGAATCTCCCATGACCAAGGTTACAAACTTCCCTAAAACTGTTCAGCCTTTAATAATTCTGTTGGAGGTATTGTGACTTAGGTCTGCAAATACACTCAAATTTCATGATATTCCGGACAGTAAAAGCACTTAGTTTAAACATAGGATAGTTTTGAATTATACATACCTTCTAAGGTTCTTATTAAAGATTTTTCAATGCTTTTTTCTCTCATTTAAAACCAAACTAAAACAATGACCCTTGACCTGTAGCCTCTCAAAACAAACAGCTCCAGAAAGGTGGTTACTTATTAACAAATACAAAAGTCAAATGTTTCCTTCCAGTGTATTTGCTACACTAACAAACACCAGATGGATTGCCACATAGTTATCCAAAACTAAATCTGATTGAAATACAAAAAAGTATGATTCTCCTTTATTTCTCCTTGCTTGCTGAGGTTGCACTTTCAAACGTCTGCCATTAATTCCTGATAATGACGTTTTGCATACAGCCTCGTTGGCTTAGAAAAACAGGCGTTAAAATCTGTATTAAAACGTCAGCTCTTTTACACCCATGCTTGGACTGAGCATTGGACAAACGGTGCTGTACATCGGCAGCCCTCCTCCACTCCGTGATCCTGTCTGAGTTAAGATCTTCACCGAGCTGTTAGGTCGTAAGGTGCGAATATATTTAACTGATACTACACAACAGCAACCGATTGAGTAGCTTCTAATGACAGCGTGTTAATTCTAGATGTCTAACGTTACTTCTCAGTGCACTGTCTTAATATTGACTGAATATTGGATATTTAATCTACCGAAGCAAGTTAGCCTCTAGCCTTTTAGCTGCAGAGAAGACAAACATTCCGCTACTTCTCGGGCTGCCCAATAGAACCGCAGTTCTGTGGAGACCGATAGAATGGGGCGTGGTTGTGACATTTATTACTTTGAATCTTTATATTGAAGAATGTATTGTTATAATGTAAATATTGTTACGAAACAGCAACCATTTAGACCCTGACGCCCGATTCAGAATAAAATTAACCAACTTATATACCGTAACGGTAATAAGTAGCAACAGTTATTCATTTATTTACAGTAGCTTGCTTAAATGCAAATCTGATTATTTTAAGTGAACGAGGTGCTTGTTTTTGACCAATAAGCAGACTGGAGAAATGGGAGAGTCAGGGTCACTTACCTGAAGATACCGGCTGAAAAAGGTGATGTGAGCTAATTGATGTGATGTGATGTAATGTGAACTAACTGTCCCGATTGGCGACTAAGAGAGCCTTCGCTCACACTCTCTTGTCCTCTGATCTCCATTTTTCGAAAAACTTCTAAGAATTAAAGTAATTTTATAATAATTTGTAGGTTTCTGGGTATGGCAGAGTAACCACGTTCCCAGCGAAAATAGCTTTCACACAGAATTTCGCATTTCACAAGTTTTATCTGTGCAATTGAGTTGATCGATTTTATTTTATTTTTATCACAGTTGCTATTTTACCGTTATATTTACAGTAGCCTTGGTGGAATATTTCACAGGTTAATTTACTGCTTAGGAGTTTTGTGGGATGGCTTAAATTAGGGATTTCTAAATCGGTAGGTGGTGAACCTAGCTTTAAAAAGACATTGTAGCAGCCATAAACCTATTTTTTCATTTTAATTTCCATTCTTACCAACATCATGTTGTTCTCTCCGTCCATTCATTTTTCACGGGCCCCAGTGAGAATACCAGTTTATAGAAGGGAATGTAAGCGTTCTACATAATCAAGGATCAACACCCGCCCACGACAAAGCAGGTTGTAGACGTTCAGTAAATATAAATAAGACAATTCCAATAGGAACGTGTAATACTCACTGCCCAGACTGCCTCAGGATCCTCAGCCCGTCAGGGGGCACCCTGCGGGTCACGTAGACCCGGGCCAGCGCCTGCGGTGCGCTCTGCATGGCGTACTGTCTGCGGAACTCGGGCCACAGGACGCGTTTCAAACCCCGGGCAGAGGACCTCCACCACATATCAGCAGAGAAAAAAAAAGACACTGGGAAGACCTAAGGGACGTCTGAGCCTGTCTGCGTTCCCGATTGCTTGTTTCAGTGAGTTTTGGCTCCGGTACAAATAAGGGGTGGTTCCGCCCGCGATAAAACCGCTGTCCGACCAATAAATCAAGGGCAGGTATTCTTCGCAGCGGCGGGCGAGAATCTTCCTCAATCGGCAAACGGATCCACATAAATCCCCTTTGGCCTCCCACCTACAATTCTAGCTTGGTTTAACAAAGTAAACTTGGTTATAAATCTTATTATAGTTTTGCAAAACAAATTGCCTTGAACCACGTTCATCCAAAACTGTAAATGATCACAAATTGCTCAATCTATTTGGACACCCACAACAGCTCTTTTTACCTACTGACAGCGGGTTTGTTAAGGACTTTTTGCAAGACTCCCATCCACAGCAGTGCCGCATTTAGATTTAATTGCAAAAAGTAGAATTCAGGTATGGGTACATGGGGATGTTCATCACTACAATATTCTCCAGGATGCGAGTTTTTTTAAAATTTTAATTAATTATTACTAAGAGGGTGATCGTCTCTTCAGAATATGCACATATCTGCATTTTAATTGCCGTTTTATCGTTTCTTCAGATGATGCAGTAAACTGAAGCTTTATAGAATTTACAGTACTTTTCGTAAGAATAGTTAACCCATGTGTCCTGATTTGCAAATTTCTCCCACATTCACAATCTAGTTCCCTCTTTATTTTGTCATTGAAGGAAATTCATGCTACTCTACCTTATCTGCTGTGTGGGCCAACTCCTACAGTGCCGTGCAAAACTATCCACATCCTCCAATGATCATGTCCCATTTAGTTGAATTAATGAGAATGTAGACAGATTTTTAAGCAAATATTTTAATCAAATGATTTTATGCTCCTCACTGTGACTGGAAACCTAATTAGGACTGTTTGAAAAATGGCCAGAGCACAATACAGACAGATACTGGACCACCCATAAGCAATCCTACAATAAGTGCCTGGAGCAAATCCAGCACCAGGAATGGGAAAAAAGTGGATATAAAGCCAGTGTGCAATGTAGGTAGAGACCTACTCAAAAAGACTACTTTCTAGCAAACGTGCTTTAAAAAACATTAGATGGAATTTCATGACATACATTGGCTCTCGAAGTGTCAGTGAGCCAGTTGTCCTGTCACACTGTAGTGACTGTTCGATGTCATTATGAGCAACGCAGCACTCACACTCAGTAAAGTAGCTCTCACGCTAATGTAACAGAATGGATTTGAAAGAGATGGTCTCCAATTCCTCTGTGGAGGTGGCTGGGGGTCTGTAAATGTTTGACTGTGTGAGGATAACCTTTACTTGTTTGAACAGAAGATTTAGTGAATCATACTCCAGGGTACAAAAAAAAAACACTCTGATATGCTCTGATATGCGCAGAGGAGAGTGCCTGGATGATTATATTTCAAAAGTTATATTTTTAACTTAATATTTTTATAGTTCAAACTAATTTTAACTGATACCATACAACAACTGTAGTGTAAATACAATACACTTATTTTTTGTATACTGTTTGTGCTAGTTGGGCGATATATTTTCACAAACTGTGGCATAACAGAGAATTTAAAATATTTATATTACCGTTTCAGTCATTCATCCATTTTCTGCTGGTGCTGGTTGCTGGAGAGTCAGAGTCTATCTTGGAAAGCAATGGGCATAAAGCAGAAATTAGTGTTTCATAATATGAAAAATGAAAAAAAAAAACATGTTGCAACATGCAAATTCCATAAAAGAAATAAATATTAAATGAACAATTCAATAAAAAAGGATTAAATCATACAGTACATAATGGAAAAGAATGATTATATGTGGCAAACGTCAGTTCAAATTCTGTGAACAACATGGAAATCTCTTTTGAATTAAAAAGAGGTCATCCGTGACAAAGAAAAGAAATATAAATCCTAAAAACATAAATCGATGAAGGGTTCCATCTATCTTCAGTAAGCTGCTTGTCCTTGTGAGGCCTACAGCACTCCAGATCTGGTCTCAGAAGCACAGGCTGCAAGCAGGGCTGAGAGCACAGGATGAAAAGAGCCCATCAAACACAGCCAGCAGGTCTTTGAGAGGTGGAAGGAAACCAGAGAACGAAGCCAAAAACATTTGTGGAAACATGCAAACTCCACACAGATAGACACCAGAGGTCAGACTCAAATCCAGAAGCCCTGGAGCTGTGAAGCATGACACTTGCTGCCCTCAACGAAGAGTTAATGAATTAAAATAAAATAGCTTGTCAAATTATGGTGCCATACAGATTTCACACTGATATACAGTATGCTTATTTATATCCTTATGGATATGAACGTTAACCACAGCACTGAAGAGAATGTACAAGCTTCTGAAATGTCTACAGCCTACAAAAACATGATATGCACCAGTAAAATCTGTCAACGAGCTAGGCTGATGCTGCTATTTTGATTTCTCTAACCACTCTGTAACATTAAATACACTACTCTAAAACAGTAGTGATGTGCACTGTATAAAGAAACATTGAGAGCAAATCTCTTCAATACTGAGAACTGTTCAATTTTCGTTATGGGATTACCAATATTCAGCAAATATGAGTTGCAGTGGACATTGTGACAAATACTCACTGTTATGTAAAAGCAGGGTTTTGTAACAGAATCGCTGATGCACTAGCTGAGTTAAGCTTGTCTCATACTCACCAGCAGTTGTGCAATACCCTGTACTAACATATGCCGTGCTTGCCTGTCGGGAGTTTTTGTCTCTTATCTACAGCTGCTGTCTGTCTGGCTCTGAACCAGCTTGTCCCAGTTTGTTCCCCATTCAGCTCTTTGAATGAAATGCTGAAGAATAACATAAAACAGGCCAGAAGTACCATTCTAGTAGGTAAATAAAAATGGGGATTCTTTATGGATTTTTAAGATAATCTGAAAATAAATACATTGAAAATTTATATTTGGTCAGTCTTTCAAATGCAAAGAAATGAATATACAAAAGCAAAATTAGTTTTCAGTGCCAGAAGATCTGACTGGTTATAATCCTCAAACAGGTTAAACACAACTGACACAGCTACTGCAAAAAAAAAAAATCCTGTATACCAGATCCTCCGTGTAATAATATTAATAATAAAATTAATTGCTTACACTTATATAGTGCTTTTCTGGACACTCCACTCAAAGCGCTTTACGGGTAATGGGGAATCCCCTCCACCACCACCAATGTGCAGCCCCACCTGGATGATGCGACGGCAGCCATAGTGCGCCAGAACGCTCACCACACACCAGCTATCAGTGTGGAGGAGAGCAGAGTAATGTAGCCAATTCATAGATGGGGATTATTCGGAGGCCATGATTGGTAAGGGCCAATAGGAAATTTGGCCAGGACGCTGGGGTTACACCCCTACTCTTTTCGATAAACGCCCTGGGATTTTTAATGACCACAGAGAGTCAGGACGGCGCCTGTTTACAGTATAATTTCCCCGTCACTATACTGGGGCATTAGGACCCACATAGACTGCAGGGTGAGCGCCCCCTGCTGGCCCCACTAACACCTCTTCCAGCAGCAACCTTAGTTTTTCCCAGGAGGTCTCCCATCCAGGTACTGACCCGGCTCACACCTGGATTGTACAATAGTACAATACTTTGCACAATCTTTTTTGGACATCAGAAGAACTCAGTACATTATTGTGCATGTTGTTTCTAACTCGGTGGGCTGTTTACAAACAACAGAATGTTTTAGCTGCCATGGACATGTACCCTCATGAATTTATGATACAGTATATTTACAGGTCTGTTGTGATCTGAAAGGACCATGAAAAGTGTATCATATTTCCCACCTAGGACACCATTTCAAAAATGACTACTCAGCTTGGAAACAGCAGGCTTCTTAGTTGTTATGATGACGCTATTAATCAATACATCGCTATTAATTAATTAAGTAATTAAGGAGCTGGTCATAGCAAGATTGTGCAGTGGAGTGGATTTGAAGAGCCATACATTCAGTAGCGCTGATTAAAATAGGTCTGGCTTTTGAAAATATTTGCAATTCATTCTTACTTGAATAAGAAATATATTGATTAAATATTGTTATATAGGTTTAACCAGTATTTCGTCTTCATACAGCATTATTGGTAGGCAAATATAACAGTATGAAGTACAGGAGGCATGTATGGTAGAACAATATAGCTTAAAATACAGTGTATACAGAATGTTATATTCCATTTCATGGAATTCCTAAATATTTTAACCAGTGCATCTCAACATTAGAAGATTTTTTTTTTCAGTACGAATGGGTGTGCGACAAGGAAAGGCAATTCGGAACAATTTTCACCAGATGGCAGCATTGACGACAAGAGAAACACTGCAAGAGCAGTGTTTCGTCAACACAGTGCTTGTGTTGTTGTAGATCTCTGTTAGGCTGCGAAGGTCGAAGAGTGTTGGACGCGCCGGATACTGAAGTATGTTCATCTTGCTGTGAGCCGAAAGCATAGGTTTTGTTATAATTTTTTTGCTTAGCTCGCACAAACGTTCTTTCCCCTTCTTATGCTAAGACTTCCAAAGTTAGAATAACAATGGCTGTCTGAAGAGTTTTTGGGAAACTCCCCTTAAAACTGTTTCCAGACTGCATCTGTATCCGGCTCTAGGTGTACCAGAATCTTCGAAAGTAAGTCGTTCTTTTTTTGTAATAGGGCTGCCCGTGCGTTAATGCCTACAGGTATTGGATAGCAATGTAGTTTACCACTCAAACCCAAATTATTTTGTAACAGCCGCAATTGCGAGGCAGAAAAATAACCAGGGATCAGTACGTCAGACGATACAGACTGCTTGCAAACACGGCTGTAACAAACAAAAGTCACCTGCTGAACTGTCTTGATAGTTTAGAGCTGGCGGAGCAATACTGTTAATTAAAAAAAGTAACCACTTCCCCCACCAAATAATCATTTTGTTAAAATCGGGTGTGTTTCTTTGTGGAAGAGGACCTCTGGTCTGTGTCGCAACCAGCACTGTGCGCGGTTAACAATATTGATCGATGTTGCGGTGACTTACAGTATTTTTCAGAAATACCTCGTAAACAGTTGAAAGGAATACATTTTACTCAGTTCTGAAGAGTCAGGGAGTAAACTCTCCTCTGTATCAAGTTTTGTTGTTCCCTTTTTGAAAATCATGTTTGGGTTTAATTTCTGCTCATATGAACACCAAAGGTGACAACATATTAATATAAGTCATTCATTTCGAGTGCCGTTACTCTGAAATATAAGTCACATTGACAGCGTATATATACATGCTCACTCTTGAATCTTATGTTTTTGTATAAAATCCACTGAATGTGTTGTGTACTTTGTATACACTGTTTTATTGTCGTCTAAGTGAGGCTAAAGGAAAATTTCCACAGTACGTGGACAATAAAGTAGAGATTCTGAGATCTCAAAATACGTTTCTGAAGGGACAACTCAAAGTGGTTGAATTAAATGTTCATAAGTGATCCTACTTTGTAAGATAACTACAATGACGCCACGTGTTGCATATAAGCCTTTTCAATTATAGTCAATTTGTGCAATAACAGTTTTTAGGACAGAGGACTGAGAAGAGATTTCATTCAGGAGTTTATGAAGTGAATTGACTTCTTCAGGTCTAGACATTACACAAGGATGTCAGGACAGATTATAAACAAGCATGTCGAGGACTGTAACAAGGCACTTTTCTACACACAGCCTTGTGGTTTTTGGTACGAGATACACAGCCTTGTTGATGAATCTGACTTTCATCTAAAGAAATGGCTGGCTGAGTGTAAGAGATTGGTTAGATATCAGTAGCCATCTGAGCTCCAAAAGCTGAATGGATTCCTGTTGTCAGGTAATGTTTTCTATGTCCTTATATTCTTATGAAACTTTTGTTTTCCCTCAGAATGGCAGAAGGAGCAGAGCCGGTCAGGCCCCTGAGTCACAGCCAGGAGCTCCTCCACAGGCTGCAGGAGCAGAGGGTGATGGGATTGTTCTGCGACGTCACGGTGGTGGTGGAGGGCGGCACCCTTTTCCCCGCACACAGGAATGTCCTCTCCGCCTGCAGCGACCTCTTCGGCAGCCTCCTGAGCGCGGGGGGGGACACCGTGGAGCTGAAGAGTGTCAGCCCCCCGAGTTTCGCCGGGCTCCTGGAGTTCGTCTACACTGCCGCCATGCCAAGCAGTGGTCTCCAGGAATTTTACGCCACAGCCGAGCTGCTGAGGGTAAGCCTGCCCCTGCCCCCACACCCAGGATGCCTCCTCAGTGAAACCGTTCTTCCTTCAGCTCAGGACGGTCAGCTTCGTCCGAGTGCCGAATCCGGCAAGCACACTGACTCGCAGGAGTCAGGGGGCCAGGGACCTGTCTGTGAGCAAGATGGAAGGAGAACTTTAGAGGCAAAGACCGGAGCTGCCCTGAAGCAGCCATTACATTCTGGAGGCCCAAAGCAGAAGGAGGCGAATCAAAGCACTGAAATGGACCAGAATGCTGGTGGCACAGACCTGCTTTCAAGGAAAACGCTGGCAGACAAACGGTGCCCTTCGCTGAAGCTCCAAGACATGGAATATGGGAAAGAGGGAAGGTCTACTCTGTCCTCAGGGCAGGAGGAGCAACAGGAGCAGGAGGACAGGTAGGTCTGTCTGACACCCAGCCCTGGACATGCTAAGAGAAGAATGTCCCTTATTCTGTACTGTGATGTACCTCCAATAAAAGCTACATGAAATGTGTTGAAGCACAGAGAGGTATTGTAAACCATTAATGTAAGCAGTGTGAAACACAGCCGGTGGGGAACAATGGAAAAGCACAGCAAGTAAGAATCATCTATACAATGTTGTTGCACCAGATGGTGTATTCCCCCAGCCTGTCACATCAAACAGGGGAGATTAAATTTGTTTGGATGTCCTACAGTTTCTTGAGTGTATATTGCATTCAAAAACTGGGGTTATTGAAACTCCCCAAACTCTCCCCTACCTCCAGGACTATATTGGTACAGCCGTGTGACCTGAGCCTGTGTGCATCTTTCTTCTTCACAGAATTATTTTTACTGTTGAAGATATCCATTTTCCTATGCTTTAGGTGATGAAGAGATCAACTGTAGGACCTGTCTACTGACGTTCAGACAGGATTGGTGAAAGGTTGAGGTTTTCTGTGTTTCTTGAATATCAGAATTGGCAGAAGCTGGTATTCTTTCTCAGGAATCTGGCTTTTTCCCGAAGAAATCATACTGTAGGCATCACTTCACTTTTAGATGTAAGGGAGACACCTGCTGGTGGATGGAGGTAACGCACAATGAAATACAGTAGAGTCTAGACATCTGTGAATCTAACGTTCACGATTTCTCTGATTCGCTATTCGGTCTGGCTGCTGGGGTCTTGTACGGAAGAAGAGCAGAGCGGGATGAAACAGAGCTGAAGGTTTTTAACTGCAGCATCCAAATTAGCAGCACAACAGAATACGATGGTGAGAAGGATCTACTGTTTCTAATAAGTGAGCTTCTCCCTGCCACCTACCCAGGCTCCCACAACCCATCAGGTCTTGTTTTTGTATCATGTAACGAAAACTCCAGGTTCTGTGTCAGCAGTGTGGGGAATGACAAACTGGAGACAATAGGCTCACTGACACTTGTATCTCCCATTTGTATTACGGTGGGGTAGAGAGAGGGCAGGCTGAACAATTACTGTAGGTTTGTGATTATTGTTGTTGTTTTTTTAGTTGATCGACATTTAACTTGAAACTGATGTATTAATACTTTAATTGCCATATACTGTAAGGGAGAGTTACTTACAGTATGTCTTTACTTATGTCTTTTAACCACACTATATATTGTACTACATTATGTGACAGAATAGCGATGGATTTGGTTATATGTGAATTTGCCCATTCACGATAGTTCTCTGCAATGAACCCTGGCAAATGTTGAAACCCTGCTATAGTTCAGTCCCCTAAGAGTTACTGTCTAATTCCAGCAGTTCAGCCGTGTGCAGGCTAGGTGTCAGAGGTGTTGAAGTGTCTCGTGGGTTGGACTCGTGCTGGAGTCTTTTTGCAGTCATGTGTTAAATCTAACTGTAGCCTGAACGTGGTCACATAACATGGGACCATGTAAAAGCTAAATGTAGTCCTAGAAAGATTTTACAGATGAGAGGGAGAAGTGCTGTAGTGTGCTACAGCAGCACTACCTACAGTACTGTACTTGTGGCCTGTTCTCAGATAATAAGAAAGGTCGGGCCTGGTCAGTACTGGGGAGATAGATGTCTAAGGAAAACCGGGTAGCTGATGTATGTGGCGTTGGTGCACCAGTAGGTGGTGCTGTTCTGGGCTAACCAAACCAACACCCCAGTACAGTAACTGGGGACATTAGGCTGTTAGAGATTTTGTCCGCTGGATACGATGCTAAACCGAGGTCCTGACTACTTGGGCTTTAAAGATCAATGAACCAGTTTTGTCACTTCTCTACCAAACCTGCTGTGCCGTGAGGCTGCTGTGTGCCAAACGGGAGCTGCTCTCCAGCAGTGGATACCCTGGGTTTCTTTCTGTATGTAAATTTAGGATCCTCCAAGATGAAAAGTAAGGATTTAAATGCAAGGTGTTACGGTTCTTCCTGTCTTGTGTCTAGTGGCTTCAGCGTTCTTCATTGCTGCCATTCCACTGCCCAGTGCTGATGCTGAAAGCTTTTCTATTGCACTCCTGCTGTCTCTGTGCACCTGGAGGAGTCTCTCATTGCAAATGTACAGTATATAAATAGAAACATGGGCTCCATATTTTGCTTTCAAAAATATTATAATAATTCTGTATAGTGTTTTTTCTTTGCTAACAAAGCTAGAAAGATTATAATGATACTGGAAAGTGTTTTGCTCTTTGCTAGGAAGATTCTAATGATGCTATTTCTATACGCATTGAGAGATACATTTTATCACAACGTTAACTAGGCCCATCGGTCGATTTATGAACACGGGTTTCACCATAAGGAAACATATTTTCAGACCTATTTTTCTCAGAGAGATCTTTCACTTCAACAAAGCTGTGTCCTTCGGATGCTGATTGGAAGATGTTACCCTCGCAGCTTGATCTCCCCCTACAACCTCTCTCATCCCAGTACCTCAGTGCGTCTGTGTTCTGATCATTTTGACCAGTTTGACCTTTTCTATTGACCTTTTTAACTACCGGGCTGGGGTAAATAGGGCAATTTTCACAAACAAGCAACGTTGTTCTTTCTTTGATGAATTGGTGCTCTGTAAGTCCTTTTTTCCATAATATTGGGGAGTTTTTTAGACCTCGGAAACGAATGAATCCTAAGGTTTTATGTGCACAGTTGTGGGAATTTCATTTTCCGACTTTTCCCCTCGCGAGCGGTTTTCCGAGGACCCGGATTGCGTTCGTAAATCGAGGGATGGGAGGCGCGCTGGTGCCGTTTCACTGTGCGGCTGGCCACGCTTCACTGAGGGACGGCTTCTGTTCCGGAAAACGCTGTATTTCCCTATAACCGGAAGGCCCGACGGAGAGACGACGACGACGACGACGACGGGGGGGGGGGGGCCATGGAATTGTGGGCCGGCGCAGCCGTCTCACTGTTGTCTCGTCCCACCCCAGCGGCCAGGTGGCCCAGCGCGGGGGGTGGCCCCGCGGGGGCAAGCTGTACCAGTGCGACCAGTGCGGGAAGCAGCTGGGCTCCCTGGAGAAGCTGAGAGACCACGTGGCCTATCACTCCGACGCCCGTCCGCATCACTGCCGTCTCTGTGACAAGGCCTACAAGGTCAAGAGTAAGTCGGCCGCCACACCCCTGTTCGGATGCGTCAGTCGGTGTTTATAGTGAAGTCGCTGATGTTGTCAAGATGTCTGCTGGAAGGTAACATGGAGAACCTATAATACTGGTGGTTGCATAAAGGCTCGAGAAACGCCATCAAATCAAGCTTATGAATACATTTTCCCTTAGCTAGGGCATTGACTTGTGTGTTTAGCTCCTTTGTCCGGTACCCATGAATTGAAAATAACTACAGTATGGGGAGAAAGATGAAGTGGGAATGTGTCTTACTGTGTTTTATGCGACTGGCTGGAGATCATTAAGCCATTCGTTGTTGGAAAGATGCTAATTCCAGGCATGGGTCATGGAAGCCCAGAGCCTGTCCCAGATACTGGGGGCTCGGGCTGCGACTACACCCTGGATGGGATGCCAGTCCATCACAGAGCACACACACTCAGGCACACTGGGGCAATTCAGAGATGCCAGGTAACCTAACCTCTGTGTCTTTGGGAGATGGGAGGAAGTTACCCTGGTCTGAAATTCAACCCAGGACACGAGCTCTGTGGAAGCATGGCTACCTCGCCACCATGCTGCCTTCTGGTTGTTAGTCTAAAAACTTTAAGTTTAACTATTGTCTTTAAAGAGATGTATGCAGGTATAGGAACTTGTTTGAATTGGTAGTCAAAGGAGTCAGAATGAGCTCCAGAGTGGAGCTGAGCACTAGGAAAGACGTGGAATCAAGGGAGGTTGTGCCAACAGTGGCTCGAAGGCAGCTCGTGTTTTATAGAGCTGCAAGAAATTCTGATTCACACTTGCTGTCACATCATGATGAAATTAGATCAATGGGAAGAGGTCCTGATGTACAGGACCCCTAAAGTACAGATGTAGCAGGGCATCACCTTGAAATGGGTGTTTCTTAAGAGTGCCACATGCATGCATCTCTGGGTCTCAATGCTGTGGAGACCCTGTGGATGTTATATTTGCATCCAGAGTGACTTGTAGTTGGATCTGGTTAAGTAGCATGATGCACATGGGAACGTCATGTGGTTCCGTCAGGCTCACCTAGAGCCTCCAGCTGGGCCACTTCTCAGATGAGTATCTCAAGGGCCCACAAGGGGGGGTGGCTGGGGGCAGGTGCTGCTGTCTGACAGACTGCTGTGCCCTGGCTGCAGATGACCTGACGCAGCACATCAGAGCCAAGCACGAGGAGGCCTGGAGAGGCAAGCCAGCCCTGGTACAGCTGTGCGAGTTCTGTGGCCAGGCCGTCCAGCACTACAAGAGCCACAAGCTCTTCTGCAGGTGGGAGGCTCTGTGCTCCCTATCCGGCCTTGTTTTTCCTCATTCAGCCTCTGTCTTGTGGTTACCTCACCCTTTCACTCTCCGTCCTTTTTGACTCCACTTTGCCAGTTGTTTCTCTGCCCCTTAGCTTCCTCATGTGTGATTTGCTTTTTTTTTTCTCCATTTTCATGAACCTCCTGTAGGTTGGAGCCTGTCTTTCATAAAATCTGTCGGTAGCCTTAGAGCCAAGAGCCTTTAATTCTGACCCCAAGAATGTTGAGCTCATATTGGTCAACAGCATAGCAAATCGGAGTGAAGGAGATATCATTTGTAATACTATTGTAGGACATGAAGTGACACAAGTACATGTTTTGTGTCAGTTTTTTATTATCCTTATGTTATTGAGTGAAAAAATACGTTGTTTCAGTTGCTTGGTAGAAACTCAGTGTCTGGGTAGCCTAGTTATCTTTCAGTTCATAGCCAGCCGCCTAGCCAGAAGAGTCTAACCAGATGAAAAACCTGACAGCTCAGGAATTGTGTTCCTCACTGCCGATCGTGCTGCTTCAGTTTTAAGTCCAGACCCATCTGAAAACCCCCGGGGACTGACTGTACTGTATGTATGTGGAGAACCCTAATGAGCCCACCTGTTTCTCGCTGGCCTTCTGTCCTGGGCCCCCAGTGGGCTGAAGAGGTTCCAGTGCGGGTTCTGCACGCAGAGTTTCCCTCGCCTGTCGGAGCTGAAGAGGCACACGTGGACTCACACTGGCGACCTGCCCTACCAGTGCTCAGTGAGTGACACAAAGCTCCAGATTGTACCGTAGCTCTGCCCTGGCCTTCAGTACACAATTCTGACTAATGGGCGGTGAGCAAGTCGGTGTAAACTACTATAATTAGTGGTCCCCAGCTGTAGTCCCAGAGGGCTACAGTCTACAGGAATATAAATTGCTACAAACATTGCTAATAAAATTGTGCTACAGTAATTGTGCAGGTAACACCTAATCCTTTTTATTTAAGTTTTGCATCCCTACATCAGGGCTGACGTGTCTGAGGGTTCTCCTGGTTTCTTTAAAACAGCAGCACCTGAAGAGGTGGGAGGGGCTGTTAAAAATGGTCATCAATAGTAATAAAGCCAATAATGAACAGATTGAACCTAAAACCCCCCGTTTTAACCTGTAGACACCCTGACGCTTCAGAACCAGGAGTGGGGACCCCTGAGTTCACTGAATAACGGCACCAAAAAACTAAAAAAAGGAGCAGTTTACACTACTTGCTAGTGCCACGATCACAGAGGCCATCTAGAAACCTCCAAGCCAGTTTGCTGGCTGTGCAGGAGCTGAGGGACAGCTCTCTTCTCTGGTCACGTGGAGAAGACGGGAGTCGCTCAGCCCCCTTCTCTGCTCTCATTAGCCAGCCCAACTGTTTGGCGTGGGCTGACGGTTTTTTCTTTACCGACGGCTGGGGGAAGAAAGGGAACGAACGGTGAATTCCGTCCTTCCTCCCCAGGTCTGCGAGAAGCGTTGCCGTCACCCCAGCAACCTGAAGAAGCACATGCGAGTGGTGCACCGGGAGGACAGGCGCGTGCGGATCGACAGGGAACACGCCTCCCCCCGCCTCCTCCGGGACTTCCTGCCTCTGCACCCCCCTGAGGGGCCCGGGGCCGGTACTGCTGGTGCCCTCACAGCTCCGGCACAGCTGTCGCCGAGCAGCCGGTCGCACACCACGGCCCCGTCTCTCCCAGCTCCCTTCAGCCCACTACACCACGGCCCCGGCTAAGCCCGGGACAGGGGGCCTAGTTTTCCTGTTAAAAACCTGTGTGGCGGTGCTGTCGCCTGGTGTTTCTTTCTTTTCTATTTTGAGAGGTTTTCTGATAGGCCAGCACAGTTCTCAGCACTTGTATACGCTTCCTCTGATTCAGGGTCATGGGGGAGTCAGAGCCTGTCCCAGCAAGCCATGGGCACAAGGCAGGATACCCCCTGGATGGGACGCCAGTCCACCTCAGGGCAGGCAGACATGGACACACAAAAACTCACGCCAAGGCCAGTTTTCCCAGAAGCCAATTAACCTATCAGTACACCTTTGGATTGTGGGAGGAAACCCATGGGAACATTAGGAAAACATAAACAACACGAGGGCACCCCAGGAATTGAATATGGGGGCTTCAGCGCTGGGAGGCAGCAATGCCAATTACTGTGCCGCCATGTGTAAACACAATTTTTTCTAATTTAGATTTATAGTATGGCATAAATGTAGCTGGAACTCCTACTGTATGGCTTTGCTATTCAGTGAATTGGCCTTGTTTGTATGATTTGTGATGTATGATTATGATTAGGTTAAATTTGCATTTAGGATAAATGTTAAATATCAGAATTTTCTGAAAACAATCACAACCACTATTATACTGAAGGAAGTACATGAACTCTATAACTTCATTAAATTTAAAGTTGTATCATTTTCAAATGTACCCTTCTGACACAACTAGAGTTACAGTAATTTATACGTACGTAACAACAGACCTTTAAAAAATGTAAATTGGGAATCAAAGGGCATTCTCCTACTTAAAACATATTTCTGTTGATGGAATTTTTATCAGTAGAACAAATAAAAGTTTAATGGTTTGGAGAACTAGGAGTGTTTCACGTACCTTTGGATATTATCAAGCCCATTGGGCCTTTCCGAATGATCTAATATGAGCAGAAATAATGACACACAGTAAATATAAACAACAGGAATGATCTGACAGTGTGGGGACCACTTCAAAATAAATGAGAGAAGAGTCTTGACTTAAAAGATTGGAAAAATGTACAGTTTCAAAATCTGAGACAAAACTAATTCCTCAGATTTTTTGTAACAAGTTTCCATGACTCCAAATCATTTAAGGTGACACAGATACATGCTGGCATTGTAGCTAATACACAGGAACTTGAAGACAATCTACCTGGTCAGAAATTCAGAGAATAGTTGTGGACATTCTGTAGAGTGGTGTCCTGTGCATCTATTCCTGCTTTTGTTTGTTTTGCCAATCAATAACAATGGAGGGCATGGTAGGCACATATTTAATAGCATATAATTAGAAAAATGTGAAAGCAATTAATAGAAAGCCACACATAACTTAATACATACTGTACCTGGAAATGCTGGTAATGCAGAAAGGTGTCTCCCAGTTTGTCTTGCACCACCACTGTTTCCCAGAGGCCAATATGCCAGCAGAGAAGTTCCAGAATCAACATTTAGGATCCTGTCACTCTGTAACGTTACCTACCTAGTTTGGTCATTTTTGTATTCTACTTTTGTAACTTGACATTTAGTTTCACACAGTTGTTTTGGTTTCTGTTGCTAAAGTTATAATAACCAAACATTAAAAAAAGCTAAAAAAAAGTAGTAGAAAACTTGAACTAGTACTCAATTAACTTGGAGTGTAATTTATCTATTATATTATTTGTGTCTCCTCGTCATAAGACATATCCAGCTATCTGTAATTGAGGAAACTGCAATATTATTAGCTGAACATATCAGGGATGTCAAAAATTGTCACTTGAGTACTGTTGGTACACAAAAAGCTTTTAGTATTACTTTGAAAGAAAAAAACAAAGCAACTATCAGATGTCTGACCTAAGGAATGTCAATACTCATGTTA